ATTACCCGAATTCCCGATGCACAGTCGCTTATTCTCCAAGAACGCTGAGTGGGGGGGGGGGTGTCCAATATTCCATCCATGTGTAGTCTTTTCACCGATGTCGCCTATTACTCCCCCTCTCCTCCCACCCCCACCAGTTCCGCAATTCTTCAGGTCTCCAAATCGGCAAGAGTACATTCTTTTTCCTCTGATTCGCTGATTCTTCAAAGTCGTCATTTATGAACTCACCATTACTGGAATAGCACCCTGTCTGCCCCTCCCCCCGCCTGCCCAATCTCTTGCACCACAAAGCTACCTATTCATACGGAGAATGAAAGAAACCAGGTCATTACCGTAATAAACCTGTTTCTGTCCAGTAATTGGTAGATTTCGGGAAGCGGCGTGCTTCTGTCGTCTGACCTCCATGTAACGGACGCAGAGGAAAAAGTGCCAGTTATCTCCTGGCGATCCTTTCAAAATCCATTTCACTTTTGTTCGGCGTTTTTGCATAGGTTACGTTCGCATTGTGTATTTAGCTGTTCATTCTAATCTGCATTATTTCCGTTTCCAGGTTCTGGCATTTGGCCATGGTTACAAATGTATATGTTTCTGCTGTCACTCAAGATAACATATCCCGCCATGAGCTTCTCGCTTGGGTCAACAATAATCTGAAGGTAAATAAAAAAATGTTATGATAAGTTGTATATACCACCTGATGTGGGAGTGGCTGCGAAAATGATTACTATTTTCATTCGCTAAGAGCTCGGAAATTAAACAAAGCTAAAAAGCTATTCAAAAAGCTTACAAAGATGAAGCTGCGACGATAACTGAAGCTGTTTGAGATAGAAAATGGATTGCAATCCTACTACAAGTGACTTGAGGTGGGCCACCAGCGAACTGCACAGTCTGCGAGGCTCAACTCATTCCTCATTTTTTTAGATATTTCAAGCAAGGCCGCTTGCGCCTCACATTACTTTCATGAGACTAGCGATTACCTTGCCCTTGACGAAGACCGTATCAGCCAGGAAATACACACGAAATGCGTATTTTTAGCGAATGCGCGCTGCGCTGCTTGCACTTTGCGTACCCATTGAGACCAGGCACTAGTCCAAAGTTTGAGTAGCGTTGCGTCACTTTCAGGTCACTCCATTCAAAAGCAACATGTGACGCTTCATTTAGAAGCCCATTTGTTTCGATTTTTGGGCAAAGATTCACTTTTTCTTTCGGGTGCGTTCATACTTTGCGGCAGCTTTGACCGTCATCAGGGCCTTGAGCGTTTTGATCGATCCAGCCTTCCTACGCGTTTGCCAGCGTTTTGAGCGTCCGTCTGCATTTTTAGCGTAATCGATATTTATACATTATTAGTCGCTCAAAATGCTGGTGGATGCTCAAAGTATGAACCACTTAACTATTCGTAGTGAAACTTTTCCTGGAATGATCGCTGAGGCCGCGATCATACTTTGCGACTCGAAAGAATTGTCTTTTTGAGCGAAAAGGATAGTGTAGGGCCGAAAACACCTATGCGCCCAAATCGTAAAGTGCTGAAG